GTGTGTGTGTGTGTGTGTGTGTGTGTGTGTGTGTGTGTGTGTGTGTGTGTGTGTGTGTGGAGCAAGCAACACAGACAGCCTAATATTTATTTTAGGTGGGAAGAGAAGGGAGGTAAATTTGATTGGAGCTGAATTTGTGGAAATGTCAAACTCCGGTGTCTGCCAACTGTGAAGTGATAAGAAAGGTTGAAGCCTTGTGCAATACCCTATTCTGTCTGTTAATATGACATCTGTTGGTGCCAAAAGAATATTAAAAGTGTTTTTAAAATAAAAAAAGAAGCAGCAGTGGCTGTAAAGAGAAGGATTTGTGATGCATTTACAGGGTTGTTGAGTGCTTTTATTTTTGTATAACATTGTATTACATGTATTATTTTTACCAGAGGAGCATTGAGTAATTGTACATTTAGCAGCTGATCTAATTTGTTTCTTTGAGATGTGACAGCAAAAGAATGATCTGTTTTCAGTACATAATACTGTAAAAGCTCACATTATCTGAATAAACAAAATGGAATTAAAATAAATGCTGTTTCTTCTGTTCTTGTGAGATCTACAAATGTCACGTTATTAGGCACAGCCTGCTAGTAAGAGGTTGGACCTCTGTTTGCCTTCAGAATTAACTTAATTCTTCATGGCGCAGATTCGACAAGGTGCTGGAAACATCCATCAGAATGGCATGACGGCATCGTACAGATGCTGCACATCTGTCAGCTGCACATAGATGATGTTAATCTCCTGTTCCACATCATCCCAAAGGTGCTTGAGATCTGTGATTGTGGAGGCCATGCGAGTAGAGTGAACTCATTGTCATATCAAGAAACCAGTTTGAGATGATTTGAGTTTTCTGACATGGTACGTTATCCTGCAGCCATCAGACGATGGGTCCACTGTGGTCATAAAGGCATGAACACGGTCAGCATCAATACTCAAGAAGGCTGCAGTGTGAATCATAGCCTCAGCTTCCTGCTCCTAGGTGAACAGAATCTGGTGCGATCTTCTGCTGCTGTAGCCCATCGGCTTTAAGGCTCAAGATGCTCTTCAGCATACTTTGCTGTAATGTGGTTATTTCTGTGTCTTATCTTGAAGCAGTGTGGTCTTCTTCTCCAACCTCTAGCATCAAACAGGCATGTTTAACCAGAGAACTGCAGCTCACTGGGTATTTTGTCTTTGACCGTTCTCTGTAAACCCTCCAGATGTTCGTACAGGGCCTTTGTGGAAGTCCTTTTAATCTGTGGCAACAGGTCTGAAATCTTTCTGTAGGAAAAGTGTCATTTCACTCTTTTTTTGTGTTTTTCTACACTAAAAAAAAATATTTTTCATCCATGTTTATTATATTACAGATTATAATGTTAAATAATTCTGTGACACGGTAAATGATATCAAATTCGTGAACACCCCTGTCCTAATGGAACGTTTTTATGTATTTGCCGCAGTAAATAAGATGCACGTATGTGCAGTGATAATACAGGAAGGTGTCAAAATGTATTTTATTTTTGGCAGCCATAAATATGAAATAAACACAAACCAAAGTTTCAACAAGTATAAAAATATTAGATGTAGTGATGGCTTGTTCCAATGCAGACAAACATTTTAAAAAGAGGCAGACGGCCAAAATGGTTTCTACCATTATATCACTGTTTTATATGTTGGTACCGAGTCAATGTTTAGCATCCTGTATGATTAATAAAAAAAAACTGTATTGTTCTTTATGTATCCCCCCAAAAAACCTTTAGAAGAAATCCCCAAAAAAGTCTTTAATCAAAATCTCCTTTTACACAAATCAACCCAACGGTGACTTTTATAGTTATTGAGAAACTCATCCCCTTCATGCAGCTATACTGTGTAATTCTGAGACTGATGTTAAGTAGAAATCAGTTCATTTTGCTCACTTTCAAATAGTTTTTGGTGACTCAGAAATGCCTCTGATGTTTAAAGTCTGAAATATTTTGAGTAAACGTAATAACCAAATGTCCAAACATGGAGTTGGAGTTGCTGCGTCTTCTCCAAGACAACTACAGTACATTGTTTTTTCCTCTCCAGTGGATTCAACTGGTAATTCTTCACATTCACCCAGCAATGACAGACCTGAGTACATTTCGGAGGGCGGTCGCACTCACAAGACCCTTCAGTGGACCTGTGGGCTACTTCCAGAAGAGGATGTTCCAGAAAAGCAGCCAGCATGGATAAACCAGCAATGCTATGAGTGGGTAGACTAAAGATCCGTACAGGGAGTGGTCCAGGATCCCCTGTGAAATGACTGATAGATACAGCAACCAGCCATCTTGGAAGCTGACAGGCATGTCTTGCAGCTCTTGAAAGAAAAAGACTGAAAACAAGAGCGTGCAAGCTGGGCTGAGGATGACCAAGATGAACGCTGACAAAACCCTGGAGAGAGAAAAAGAGCAGAACACGGTTTTAGTTCTGTATAGTGATAGAGGGCTATGAAGGCCAAAGTGTCTGTGCAGGTGTTTACTTTGGAACGTGGGGTGTGACAAAGGCAGCTAAGGGCACCAGAGTGAGAGCCAGAATGAAGCCTAAGGAGAAGTTGATGAGGGCAGTGCAGCCCAGCAGCACAGCCAGGTACAGCACCGCGACGAGCTTCAGCACTCTCCAGCCCTGCTCCGTGCCCTCCCCCGACAGCAGTCTGCAACAAACAACACAACAGCTCACTTAATCTCCTGCGTCAAGTTAGCCATTGTCTGATAATCAACTAAAAGTTATGTTTTGACATGTTTACAATTTAACTTTATGTACTGAACTTTGAGGGGTAATCCACACAGGAAGCTCACTTTAGTTGATCGACTCATTCGGGCCCCACAGATTTTACGTCGTCGTCCCCTTTTTAACTTAAAGTTACCAAGTGCTACTGACTTTCTGTGGTTTCTGGTCACTTTGAAATCACTTCCTATGTGGATGTCTCTTAAGTGTGTGCACTGATGCATACATAACTCAGTGTGAGAACCCTGAATGATTTGAATTTGTGCTCATACTGAAAACTCAGTTTCATAGTTTGTACATTAATGTTTTGCCCTCCTCGAGTCACTCTACTCTGACATCAGGAACTGTCGCTCACTGGATATTTTTCTCTCTTTTTCTGATCATTCTCTGTAAACCCTAGAGATTGTTGTGTGGGCAGTTTGTGAAATACTCAGACAAACCACTTCTTACTATCATCTGATTGATTGATTAAATATTTGGGTTAACAAGCAGTAGGACAGGTGTATTTAATAAAATGTACAAGGAAATAAACAAGGAAAATCAATTTACACACACACACACACACACACATATTATGTAGTACCTGTGTGTGTTATGCGGCAACGCCAGGCCTGCTGTGTAAATAGCAATTGCTGTCAGAACCACAGCCTCTGTCTCAGACACAGGGAAATGTTCGACAGCAGTCTCCTGAAAACGGATCGGCAGCGCGTACAGAGCAACTCCTGTCAGGTGGCTGATCACCAGAGGAGTCAACACCGACAGCACTCCTGGACTGGACTGCTGGGAGGAAGCAGATTTTTATTAAAGTGTTGCTTAACCAGCCAAAATTCAGGTTCAGTTTTGATGAGTTTGTCTTAGCACGTGTGTCTAACCTGATCAATGTCAGCAACTCCATCCTCTGTTGTCGATGGTGGAGTATTGAGTTGAACCCACAAGTCTAATGCCTGTATTACAGTCAAGGAAAAAAACTGAAGGTTGAATTTGTTCCCACCCTGCTCTCAGCTGTTATTAGGTTTCTTTTATACATTTCATTTCATTTTTATTTCAGGATACACGAAGCAGCAGAATAACGGCGAGCAGGCCGAAGGCTGGCATGTAGTATCCAATAGAGACAAAGTGAGAGAGTGACGGCATGAGGTAGAAGAAGTAGGACTGGTGCAGGCGCTCCAGGAGGTTATTCAGCTTACGATACATTCCTTCCAGCAGCCTGCAGGACATTCATTTAGACAAAAAAAAAGATCATAAAAGTGTCAAATTACAAGCAGAACATAAAAGCCTTAAATATAAACAAAATCAGTATACACCATCTCTGACCTGCCGATGGTAGTGGCGTCAGTCTTGTACTGCCGGAAGCTGTTGACACCCTTGATGGTTGCAGCTTCGATGTGGTAGCGCAGAAACAGGCCGTGGTCTCCCCAGGGCCGCCCACTGGCCTGCTTCATCACCATCAGCATCATAGTCTGGACAGCGTGGTTGTACCCTGACACGCTATCCCAATCGTTCCTTTGCAGCTGTAAACACATCCACAAAGAAAAGCTACATAACGACTCTCCAACACATAATCTTAGCACTCTGCTAACCATGCACAGAGCAGAGTGCGTCTGTTTATAAGCATTTACCTTGCCCTGGATGGTGCAAAGAACTCCTATCTTCTGACAAAAGGCATAGAAGAGGTTTGCTAAGTCCAGGTTGGGTAACTGGCCATTGAGGCCTTCCAGTACCAGGTCCAAACTGGTGATGACATCACTGCTAAGCTCCAGGGACAGTGCTGCCTGAATTGATCCGCCACGGCCTTGTAATGGAGACCACGACATACCTGGATGAACCATTTCAGCAGTAAAGTTAACTTAGTTGTACATCTCTTTCCTTTATTTTACTGTACTGTAACTAGATACACGTGTTTGATCACCTGTAGTGTTGGTGTGATGGTAGCCCTCCAACCAGGCCTGCATACCAATCAAATCATGCTCATTGACAAGGAAGATGATGTCCTTGGCCCAGTAAATCTGATCTATTAAACAAACAACATTCATTAAACCAAGAAAAGCAACTGCAGCATCATTCAAATTGTGGAGGAGGAGAGGAATGGGTGTTGTACTCACTTCTGAAGTACTGAGCCAAGCCGAGAAGCAGTCCCACAGCCTGGTTGTTGCCATCACCTGGGCTGCAGGGAGCACTCAGCACCAAGGCTTCAGTTCGTGGAGCTCTAGGAGCTCGAAGGATACCATATACATTTGTGCCTTTTACAATCTGCCAAGAAGAGGAGACAGCACCAAAAACAAAGTCATGAAATATTCATAAAGATTATGCAAACACCAGTCTGTCTCTTGCTGAGAACAAAATCAGTTTTCCACGATAAACGTACATATCGCTCTTTGTTTTCATCAGGGAAGGGTAGTGTGCGAGAGAAGCTCTGAGTAAACACTTCCAGTCCTCGATCCTGCATATTCTTCACAAGCCAGTCCACTGGCATCCCACTGCAGAGAAGCAAATAGTCAAACAAGATTACACTAAAAACGATCAGACTTCTACCTAGACTTGAGTTTGAAAAAACAACAAAAAACTAGGAACAAACTGCATAAAGACCCACAAGCTTATAGTAAACCTTACCCAACTTTCTTCTTATGGGCTGCAAACTCCCTCCCTGTGGCCAGCGCTCTCTCCCCAGCTGGAAAGCGCTCCTCCACCATGGTAGAGCCCATGGCATTCTCTGACATGTATGTCCGCAGAGTGAACGGCTCAAAGGCCAAACCCATGAACCAAGCCACACCGGCAAAGTAGCAGACCACACTAAAACAAAACAGAAGTAATATTAATAGAGAGAGAGAGAGCTAAACGAAAGTAGGCAGACGGTTCGCACTGGCTAAAGCTCACCAGATTGGGGCATTGAGGCGAGTCAGCATGCTGATCAAAGCCCGTCTTCTGTTTGGGTCAGATAGCAGCCCCATATTATCAGCTGTAACGTTACTCCAAAGCCTGGATTTACTGGCGGATCCTGAAGGAAACACACTAACAATTCGTCAGGATAGCTGCCGCTGAGGAATAAACATCAATATGAAGACATTTATGACCATTCGACGCTGCGGTAATCACGCCTTTATATCGAGCTGAGAAATTGCTTCCTGGGATCCATTGTCAGAGCATCTACTGACAGCTGAGGTTAGCCAGGACGATTTCGCTAAATGGTAAATGTTTAAACCCTATACCCTGCAAACGCGTTTTTTAAGATGTTTAACAATAACTTTGTATTATTTTGCAGAATATATATGAAAAACCCACCTGTGTCCACTGGTCACATCCACCTTCAGAGGTGGGGCTTTATCGCAGAAGCCGCTGCTGGACGTTTTCGATTTCCTTGTTCCTGCGGGAACATTACTGCGGCGCACCGACTTCCGCTCAACCAAGTTAAAAATAAAAGAAAGTAAAACAAAATAAAACGACACAAAGAAATATTGAAAATACTCGATGAATAACCTGTTCCATCGTTATTTTAAGGTACATGTTTAAAACTTCCCATAAAATTTTTCTTAAATGCCTAAAGCTCGTAGTTTTCATTTAGCGTGTGAGTTTACGCGTTTATTTAGTTTTAAACATCTAAACTTAGTTTTTTTTAATTATTATTTATTGCTATAAAATGTAGAACATCAATGTGGTAGCTTGCCAGTGGAAAAAAAAAAAAAATATATA